CTTTTTTTTTCATGAGACATTTGTTTTTATGCTAAAATATCTGAATTACTTTGAAAAAAAGCTGGAAATTATGTCCCTTAAAATAATTAAACAAATAAGGCACCAATGTTTTTGTAAGATATTTACATCTTTTAAGGACATTCGGTAGACTTATTCCCCACTGTTGGTTCAACCCCAAAACTTGTTTGTATTCAAAATTAATTATGAAAATGCATATTTATATTGAACAAACTATGATAAAGGGAATTATATTATATAACAAAGGGCAAGGTCACCAGAGTTCAACTATGTTTTTTTGCTGAATCGAAAAATAGGCCGCCTAAAATTTCATTACAATGTCACCCAGTGTCATTTTTCTGCAAACAAAAATCACACCACATGTGATACAATTTGCGACAAATACAATTTTTTTAAAAATGTTATTGCTAAGGAAAGTATATTCTAAACGGTAGTTTCAAATAAAAACGAACACAACTGCACTGCCTAGCAACAAATGATCACGGTTGCGCAATCCAGTCATGCTGCGTTTCACAATTGTTGATTATTACTCAGTAGTGATTATAATAACTTACAAAAAAATAAATTTGTTGAATTGTTATGAAATGCAAATAAAATTAGTTTCATCGTAAGCAAATGATTCTGGTTGCATATGAACGCTTGATGCTGTGTGATATCTGCTATGTTCTTTCCCTTGCATGAGTTGACCTAATAGGTCAAATCACTAATTAACCAATCACAATGCTAGATGATGTCAACATGTTCAAATTACCATGATTGCATTTAAATATGTTAATGTTATTGAACGCAGCACGAAAGAGATTTGCCGATGTTGTTGTACGATTTAAAAAAAAAAATAAACTGAGCATTTGAAGAATAATTTAACATTGAATTGTGTTATGTCATATGTCGTAATCTAATAGTCCCCGCTTGGTTGCAGTCTGAAAGCGACTTATGGATTGGCATCCATGTGTATGCGCCAATCTGTCTGTCCATCTGTGTGTGTGTCAGTTCATCCAGACCTGTATCTTGAATATGGTAGAATGGCAGAAATTTTAATCTTAAAGATTCATCAAAGTGTAGTGTTTCTGCCATTCTGGTAACTTGTTTATTCCAAATTGTTTTCATGAAAATAGTATATAACTTGTGCAATAAATCTATTGTTTTATTTTATTCTATAGTGCCGAGTATTACGCTGGAAAACACAGTGATAGAGAAGGGTTCCCAGCTGTATCTAGAGTGTTCATTGAATGTTACTAGTCCATATACAGTAAATGACTTAGCATGGTGTTTCAATGAAATCAAAATATCAGAAGAGGAGTATCATATAAAAGACAATAAGACATTGCTACTTATTATTGAAGAAGCCAAGTTGAGTCATTCTGGCAACTACTCATGTAAAGTGATGTCAGACGAAAGTAATTATGCAAAGACACATGTCAAAGTCGGGTGTAAGTATTTATGTCATAAATTAAGTGTTTTGATTTGAAAATAAATTACTTTTATGTATTTATTATTACATGTCTGTATGCAAATACGATATATAGTTTATTATAATTCATCTGTCGTTACAGCGTGCAGTAATTTTGTGGAATTTACGGGGTATTTTCATCCTACCATATTAGGAAATGCGAATTCCAAATATGGAATGATTACACGCTTAATGATAAAAACAAACATGGCTGCCACCAGGGTTCGACTGGACTCCACACAAAAAAGTTTGCTGATTCTGTTCTAAACTTTTTGTATTTCGGGATTCCCATGATGGGAGGAAAAGATGTATAATAATAAGGTTATTAAGACGATGCCGACAAGTATGCACTCAGACAGTACGTTGTCACATCGACCTCCACTGCGTGTTGGTCGTTAGTTCTGCTGTACTGTCTTCGTACATACTTGTCGGTATAGTTTTAAGAATTGAAGGAAATGCATTCATTGACAATAGAACCTGTTGGTAATGTCCACTACATCTGTCACTGTAACGTCATAAGTTACAACGTGACGTAATTTTCATCCTACCATATAAGAAAATGCAAATTCTCAGTATGGAGTATTCCGTGTGTGAGTGTTCTCTAATAATTAAAACAAACATGCAAGCCCCAAGGGTTTGATCGGACTCTGTTCTAAATTTTTTGGATTTCGGAATTTCCTTGATGTATCCTTGAGAGGAAAATATGTATAATAATAAGGTTCTTACAAGGATACTGCAAAGTATGCACTCAAACAGTACCCAGCCGCATCGACCTCCGCTGCACGTCGGTTGATACTTCTGCTGTACTGTCTTTGTTCATACTTTTCGGTATCCTCCTAATAACATCATATTATTTGTGGGTTTTCTGAAACTCATCATTGACTGATTTATTTCTATGGGCCATGTGTGTTTATAGATATTTTGAATTTACAGAACATTTATGAATTTGTTATGCAAAATAACATTTGTGCCTTCGTGAAATTCACTGTATATAAATTATTAAATGTTTTACAGGCGTGCTGAGAATTATTCGGACAGTTAGTTGGCAATATATCTTGCGACTTTGCAAAACACTGGGGTCTTTGTCCAATCTAGACTTGATGGCGCCGTTGTATTGGCACGCCCTCAATTGGAATCGTTCCATTATCTTGCAAGATGCAGGTAAAATGCTGTTTTCAAAACGACATGCGTTGGTTATCATACATTAACAGGTTATATGTTGTTTAAGCATTCAAAATGTTATTTTGAATTGGTATAACCATCTGAGTCCACCTGACATTGGCGGGAAGGCTTTAAAAGTTTCTTACATTGGATGTGCTGCAGTTTCGCGACACTTTTGAGCCAAACTAAAAGTTGTTTTTACATTACTGTTGCATTATGTATCAAATCCAGATTGCATACCGAGGTGGGAGAGTACGTCAGGGATATACAGATGGAACAATTGGTTATAACAGTTTGATGGACTTGGTCAAATCAAAAGTGCCTTTCTTAAGCGAATCACTTTTTCAACTGTAGTTTGAAAATGACAAGGATATGACGATCGTTATTATGTCTACCGGTAGTCCATTTTTGTATCAAGTACAACTGACTAAAATAAGCGAGGAGGTTGACATTTTTCGACAAAATTAAGCAACACCCAACTTGCAATTTTTTAAATTACTGAAAATAATTACAATATAAATATTAAAAAAAATGGTTGTTTTATACGCATGCTCGATAATACTTGCAATTCACCAAGCCGACAACCCCTATGAAATAGTCAATCCCAAACCACACACATGCCTGTCAATCAAGTGGCGCCGACAAGTCTAGATTGGCAAAGACCCAAGTGTTTTGCAAAGTTGCAAGTCACTTGCCCGAATAATTTTCAGAACGGCTGTAATCTACTTATAATTAATAAAATAATTTATTTTGTCAGTGAAACCCAATGCAACCATGCGATGTACATCAACTAATCATATTGAAATCTACTGTACATGGAATGAATTTAATTCAAATCTACCGAGTGATTATAATTATTCATGGAAACTAAGGTGAGTTGTCTTGTACATGCTTATGAAATACTGACTTTGAACCAAAGATTTATTAGATTAAAGATTATGCAATGAGAAATATCACAGAATCCATAGACAAGTTGATAAGTGTAAGTGAGGTTATTGTCCTATTCTAGGAAGTACTATGATTTAATTAATACTACCAACTTGGAATGAAAATGTGTTTTTTTTATGGACTCTAGTCTTGCGATTTTGTGATCATTGCACAATCTTATATTCTGTGGAACTCATTCAGAAAGCTGCCCACAACTCTGCTATTATAACCAGTCTAATCTGTCTGTATATCACAGTTGCACAGACCACAATTAGAATTGAATCTACAGGGTCCATAGCATTGGGAAAATCTTTTGAAAGTCTTTGGATTTTTTGAGGTCTGGAAAGTCTTTGTGTTGTCTTTGAATTGTCTTTAAAAATAAAAAAATCTTTAAATTTCTTCATAGTTATTAATTCATTTTAGAAAGGCCTGTTTTTTCCAGGGAACAATCATATCCTCAGAATTTTGATGAGCTTTGGTGATGATAATGGCCTGAATTAAGGGTCAAAATGCCTTGGGGGGGGATGCAAGAAAGTTTAGGAAAAGGTGTGGAAAGGTCTTGGAAATCATTTGGCTCTTGGTGCTATGGAACCTGATCTATCAATCCGCTTCTCTCAATGAATTTTATCATTCATCGTTTGAATCTGTCTGTTAATTTTTGCTGTCTAATCGCTGTAGCTTATTAATTAATTCAATCAATTAATTATTTCAGATTTGAAGATGACTCGTTTTGGCGAGAATGCGTAGATACATTTGACAGCGAAGAGTTGGAGCCACAATGTATATGCGACGACCGTGAATGTTATTTTCCCGAAAATCACGGTTCAGTACATCATATGAGAGTAGTACTCACTAACCAGCTTGGCACAACGAAAATAATTATACCATTTAATCCTGATGTCGAAAGTGAGTACTTATTATAACATACTGCTTTCATTTTGTGCACAGTAACCAGTATACTGTAAACTGACTTGGGTCAAATTTTTATAAATTTTGCGATCCAGTGAAACACAATTTTATAGTAGAACATTTTTCTGATGTGTTGATGAATTTTGTGAATATTTGCATTCACAAATATCATAAAATGCTGAAATCATGATAATTTCTAGCAATGAAAAATTAAACAGTTCAGGATCACTCATCACTACCAGTGAAGCACAATGCCTGCCTATTAATTCAGGTTTCCTTTCATTGACATGCACCCATCTACAAAGCATTCAAAACACATTCTATCCTGGGTAATTATAAGCATTTATAATATCATCCAATTGGCCGTCATATTTATGCCAAATAGGATGTGATCGCTGATTAACACAGGCTAACGATCTTCTACGATAAAATAAATTGTTTTATTAACATGATCGAACAGCATCAATGCTAAGTGCCCGCAACTATATTGCAGCAACTATAAAGATGAAACATTTACTATACTTTGGACTTTCAAGAACAACATTTTATTAAACTGTTGTATTGTGTTGTCATGTTGTATTTACAGCAATACCAAATCCTCCAGAGTCTGTGGAAGTTGTGTCTACTTCCAGTGAAAGCATTAAATGGTCTTGGAAGAAGCCAGCAGACTGGAAGGACGACTTGCTCCACCTATTTTACAGAGTTCAGTATTCAAGTGTAGCATCTTCATGGCAACAGGTATGCAACACCACCACCATAGACTCTAAGACATTATGGTCAAAGATTATTCATTAATGAGAGACAACCTGTAAAATATGGATCATCTGTTGCTATCATACAACTCATAGACCATTGTATGTGGTCACTTTATGACTAGACACCCATTTCTTTCAAAGTTGAATCACAAACTTCTATGACATGTGACCAACGCATGATATATACTTTCTGTATCTATATGACAAAAACATGGATTTCTTTCACAAATCCAGACACATCCTAATTCCATGACATGTGGCCACTTATAATATGTGGTTATTACAAGGATACCGAAAAATATACACAAAGACAGTACAGCGGAAGTATCGACCGCCGCGTAGGATAAAAATACAAAGTGCAAAACCGCAAAATGTAACTTATGGTGACAAATGTGTAATAATGGTTTTTATTCCTTTAATATGGCAGGAAATCAATCAAGAGGTGTTGTCATGACATTCATGCCTAGAACCTTTTATTCTCATTGCTAGGAAGTGCTTCAGGATTATGACCAAACATACTATGAATTATCAGATGGAAAGCCATATACGGAATATTATTTCCGGGTTTCCTGTATCTCTGAATATGTTGATTCAGAGATATCTGGAGATGAGACTGAAATATGGAGTGAATGGTCTGATGTCATAACAGCTAGAACAGATGAAGCTGGTAATTAATATTACTTCTGTTATTAACTATCTTTGTGAAAGCTAATTTATTTTGTCGTCTGTCTGTTGATATGTACATGTATGTGTCTGCGTTGGTGCATGGAAGGCACTAATGAAAGGAGCCACAACGCTATTGTTTTAGCTTTACCCTATGATCGTTTGTCAATGTTTGTTCACAAACAATGGTCTTGTTAGCTTTTAGCACCTTCGTACAATGGGTTATGCTAATCTTGAGCATTCGGTACTATTTGGAGCATGTTCGGAAGTGATAGTCAAATCTTGCATGTACAATATTGAAATTGGTGTCTAGTTTGAATGCTGATGTTTCCGGAGATCTTGGCAAACTTTAATGGAAAATTGTCAGATATAACATTGATTGAAGAAGAACTGATGAAATATCGTGAATTTTTGTACTTGTGATAGTAATGAGACTTAATCAATGATTGCTTGTGAGGATTGCATTATTCAATGGTACCACTGTCAGTGCATGGGTTTGGCGCCCGAAACTGTCGAAATTTTTGACCACCGGACATCGGCGAACACCAACAGAAAAGATAGTATCGAAAGAAGGCCATGCCTAGACACTTTCTCTGTGATAATATGTTTTAGGAGTCCTTAGGAATATTTGTTGTAGAGACTCGAAATCTTGTTCTAGTTACAGTTGCTAATAATTAAAACATGTGAAATCTGTGAGGTCGAAAGTTCATCTGTTGAATTTCCGGTTGTGAAATACCTATTTTGACCTTTCACACCTAAACAAACCGAGTGCGCATGTGTGATGACCACAGTTTCATAATGCGCATATATTTTATGGTCACATTAAAACTCGGCGAGGTTATATCATATTCTGCTAACTTGTTACTTGTGTAAACAATCGCAAACGATCATCGACATCAAAGATGAGCTAGACAATGTCCTTATCAGGATTAATTTGGGCTGAAACAAAAGGAAATAAGCCAGTTAAGAGGCTTAAGTGGCCACTAAAAAAGCCTCGTGACTCCTTCCGTTAGTACCTTCCATGGTTGGTATAAGTTTCAGTCTGTTGTTATTGTCTGTCTGTGTGTGTGTGTGTGTCTGCGTTGGTATTGTTTGTTGTTATGTTGTGGTATACTACTCATTTTTAGCTCCACTGTCGATAAAGTCGAAGCGGAGCTTATAGTATTACTGATTGTCCGTCGGCGTTCGTCGTCGTCAACTTTACATTTTCTACTTCCTCTTAAAATCCACAAACTGTATAGCTGTGAAACTGTCTAGGAAGGTACCTTGGGTGGTTCTCTTTCAGATTTGTTCATTTCGTGTGGATATGTTCAATTGTCTTATTTATAGCAAATATTTTATTCATTTTTGGTCAAAAATGCTATTTTCGACTTCTCCTTGAAAACTGACAGCCCAACTGCTTTGATACTTGGTATGTACTACCTTGGGTGGACCTCTCTCAGATATGTTCATTTTGTGATGATATCTTCATTTCTCTAATTTTGATGAATATTTTTGTCATTTTTGGTAAAAAATTATATTTTCGACTTGAAAACTGCTAGTCTGATTGATTCGTAACTTTATTTGTATGTACCTTGGGTGAATCTCTGTAATAATTTCGTGATGATATCTTCAAATCTCTAATTTTAGTGAAATATTCTCTGCAACAAAATCAAGAAAGTTGGTGTCTTGCGATATTAAAGCAGCTAGCATTAAGTTTAAATTGCTTCTTATCATTGCTTTCAGAGCATGCATCACAAACAGCGGAGCTATATCAGCCGACAGGCTGCTAGTTTTGTTGTTAAAATAAAATACAAGTCATTTGTCCTCATTTTGCTGCATAAATCAATATGTAATTGAATGGTGGTGGTTATCGCGCCACGCATGTACTAATTATGGGTCTAAAAAAAGATGGGGAATTTGCGCAGACCAACGAGTACAAACTGAGAGGTAACCAAGCATTGACTAGGTGTTTTCCTCGTTATTGGAAGGTATCAAAGGAGTCACCAGTGATAATTAGTGCAATTTGTATCCAGGTCAAAACTCATACTCGCATGTTTCCATTGCATTGGATTGAAGGGAAATCAATGTTTATCAACACTAATATTGCACATGCGTTGCGTGTCTCCCATTGCCCTTTTACAAAACTCCCCCCCCCCCCGTAAATTGAATGACTAACGTTTCCTGTGTGTCAGATTTAAAATGACAATAGCTATAATTATTAAATGTTTTTTCTCTGATTTTTATTTTTAATAAAACAAATCCATTGTGATTAGTAAAATGTAGGCACTGAAAGCCGAGAGTGGTGATGGTGAGGTGACAACATTACCCTTGTGTTGTGTAACTTTGCCTTTCCAATTGTGTCTAAAACAATATTTCAGTCAGAATTGGTCATCTTTATGTGGTTATAATTTAAAAACAAAATCTTACATATCACAGCTATTGTGGCTTTAGTGGCCGACAGTTCCCAGTACAGGGTCCAATTACTTTTTTTGAAATGCTCTCAGCTGTCAACACAGAGCATAATAGTATGACTGATTGTCTGTTGTCCTTGTTTTTTTTTTTTTTAATATGTCACAAATGTAGCAATCTTGTGATCACATGACATTTCTTTACATAGCCCCCTCTGGTACAATTGAGATTGGGATAGCACCAGATGAAGTAGTAAATGGTGAACAGAGAGCAGTGAAACTTACATGGAAGGTAATGTCAAACATTATTTTGATATTTTATCCCCTAGCCACATATTTTGTTCATATTACTCCCTAACTACTTATTTTGTTCACTTTGCTCCCTAGCCACTCATTCTGCTCACTTTACTCCCTAGCCACTCATTCTGTTCACTTTACTCCCAAGCCACTCATTCTGTTCACTTTGCTCCCTAGCCACTCATTCTGCTCACTTTACTCCCTAGCCACTCATTCTGTTCATATTACTCCCTAGCCACTCATTCTGTTCATATTACTCCCTAGCCACTCATTCTGTTCACTTTACTCCCTAGCCACTCATTCTGTTCACTATACTCCCTAGCCACTCATTCTGTTCACTTTACTCCCTAGTCACTCATTCTCTTACTCCATATAACACATTTTTCTCAATGAATTCAATTTTTTAAACAGCCTCTCAAGCCAGAAGAAGCTAATGGCATAATCTTGCAATATAAAGTACGGGTATGGATCCTGAATGGCACTGATGGCACTGAAATACAGCACATGTCTACAACACATGTATCATCTTTGGAAGGGTTTAACATGACAGAAAGGACTATGGAAAGATACAAGTTTATCCAAGTTGATCCACAAATTACTGCTTATACTATTGAAGGTAGGACTACACTATGTGTTTTGTATCATTTGAGCAGGGTGAAAATATTAGTTGTCAAA